ATATATATATATATATATATATATATAATAGTTTTCATTCAGAAACAACATTTTGCCAATATATTTCTTAATCTTATTTTTTTGCTATTTTTTTTAACTTATGCCATTTTTTACTATCATGCCTTTCGTATATATATATATATATATATATATATATATATATATATATATATATATATATATATATATATTCATTATATTTCCACCTCTTTTTAACATTATTATTCATTTATTTTTGTGGCCGGAAAGAAAACATTACATGAATCTTACATTTTTTTTAATTTAATTTATATATAAATATATATATATATATATATATATATATATATATATTATATATATATAAATAGTTTTCATTCAGAAAACAACATTTTGCCAATATATTTCTTAATCTTATTTTTGCTATTTTTTTTAACTTAATTTTTTTCATGCCTTTCGTTATATACTTTTTTTTTTTTTTATATTTATTTATATTTATATATAATAAAATTTATTTTTATATACTATCTTATAATATTTTTCCAAGTTCCTTTTTTTTTTTTTACATTTTGCAAATTTTTAATTTAATTTATAATCTTACTATTTGTATTTTCAGTCTTTTTTTTTTTTCCTCAATTCTTTATATAATTTTGTTATTTGTATTTACATTATATATTGCTTTATATATATATATATATATATATATATATATATATATATATATATATATATATATATATATATATATATATATATATATATATATATATATATATATATATATATATATATATATATATATATATATATATATATATATATATATATATATATATATATATTATATATATATTTATTTAAAGCATTTGTATTCATTCTTTTATTACGTCGCGTACTTTTCCTGATAAAACAAAAGTAAATTAAATAAAAGAAAAAAAAGCAACCTGTAATGGGAGATTCAACAAGTTAGCACCTATATATCAAAGTTGAAATCTAAGTTCAACTGAACCAATCTGAACTCTTGCATCAACTTCTATCGAATGTTGCTACATTGTATGTAACAATTCACACGCTCAGCCAGAGGCTATCGGTTAAAGGTTAAAAGAACCAAAGCTGATTGGTTCTTTGTCCAGAGCTCTGTTAGCAATAATAATAATCTGTGCAGTTGCTTTAGGCGAAAACGATTCAACGAATAAAATAAATGTGACTTTAAGATTGTTTAATTCATTCATTTTATTCATTCGCATTCTTTATTTCTTTCTTTCATTCTTTCTTTTAATCTTTGCTTTTTCTTATAATCTTTCTTTTTCTTTCCTTGTATTTCGTAAATTCGTTCATTGTTTACTTTAAAATGCATTTTCTCTCTTTCTTCATTTGTTGTTTATCTCCTTTGAATCGTATATTTATTACTTTTTTAATGCTAGTTCTTTACTTGTCTTTACTTTACTTTAACTTCTTTCTTTCTTTTTTTCTTTCTTTCTTTCTTTCTTTCTTTCTTTCTTTCTTTCACTTTCTGATACTTATTTGTTCTTTGCTTTCTTTTCTTTCTTTATTTTAACTATGGATACTAATTCTTGTTTTCTTTTTATCTTTCAGTTTTTGGCGCGCATTCTTTCTTTCTTTCGGACGCTTTTTCATTTCTTTTGCTTTTGGACGCTTATTCTTCCTTCTTTCTTTCTTTCGCTTCTTCTCCTAATTTTGGATTCTTATTCTCTTTGTTTCCTTTCAGTTTTGGACGCATATTCTATCTTTCTTTCTTTCTTTCTTTCTTTCACGTTTCCTTTCGTACATTTATTCTTTCTTACCTTGTTTATTTGTTTCTTACTTTCTTCTAGATTTGCACTCTTATTATTTTTATATTTTCTTTCTTTCTTTCTTTCTTTCTTTCTTTAATTATTCCTTACACTTTTAGACGTTTATTATTTTCTTTCTCTCCTTCTTATTTACTTTCTTCCACTTTCGAAAGCTTATTTTCATCATTCCTTCCTTCCTTCCTTCCTTCCTTCCTTCCTTCCTCTTCACAATTATTTATTCTTTTATTTCGGTCTTTCTTGATTTATAATTTATATCTTTTCGCAGATCTTCACATTATGCTAGAAATGCCTTGTGGTAAAGGCACCAGTAAACACATTTTAAAATGTATTTCTTTTATGTTTAGGCAGTTCGCGTTTCTTAAAAATAAACAAGTCAGGAACAAAAAAGGAATAAAGATTTTACGGATAAAGTGTTCACCGACGTATTGCTCTACGCTTTATTCCAATTGCACCATGATTATCAAAACTAAATAGCAAATCATTTTAACTTCCATCGACTTCACTTCTATACACATCGCTCCAACTAACTTTCAAAAGGAACGATGGAAATGGACAACGCTATTGACGGTGTTTTATAAGCCGTGGCGTTGTTGGGTTTACTTAAGTTGTAACCAAACGGTTTCCTGAAGTGTACATATATCGACAAAGGCTAGAAGCACAGATGTCCAGGTGCGTGTCTTTCTCTTCGAATGATATACTTCCGTTGCAAAACTACGGAATTGTAACAGTGGCGACGGGTGAAGTATTTAAAAATGTCGGACCTTAAAAAAAGATTTGAGAATTAACACACCCCTTACAGATCATGTTGGATAAAATGGCTGAACCAACAACAATTTTATTTACATCGGATGATTTGAATTCCATTGCAAAATCCAACAACACAGGAATAACATTTGAATTATACTTTCAACGCTACGAAGAAATATTTAATAGCATTTCTGTTAACAGTCCAGTTGAGAAAAACGTATTTTGTTTCTTTTAGAGAAAAGGGTATTTTTCAAAGGAAAGGATCTGCCAAAGAGACAAACTACGAATGATAGCTGCCAAAAGCAAGCAAATATAAAATTTTAAATACCTTGGAAGTGCTTAAACATAGGAGAAAGAATGTGACACCGACATTCGAATGTGCATTGGAATAGTGAACGATGCCTTCCAAAAGTTAAGCAAAGTATTAAGAAACAAGGAAAAATCGTTAGAAACAAAGAAGAGAGTATAGAACTGTTATGTAATATTGATTCTCTGATGTGGCAGTGAATGCTGAACAATCTTATCAAAAATAGAAAAGAGGCTTAAGGGAAGAGAAATGCTGTTCTACAGAAGAATGCGGAGAATACCCTGGGCGGAGCATTTGAGTAATGAGGAAGTTGTAAGGAAAACGCGAATAAAAAAAAGACACTTATACTTAGAAACAAAAGGATACGGTTGAAAAATCTAGGATACAAAATAATGAAAGCCAGCTTTCACACCAACAAGAACTATTGAAGGCAAAGTGGACATATGGGGAAAAAACGAATCTATCTAGAAATCAAGCTTTGCATAAATGGATAGAAAAACAGGATGTGTTAGAAATGGTGAAACCACCAACTTTACTCAAAGCTAAAAAAGTTGTTAAAATTCATGGTCGTCCACGTCTTGAAAGGGCGTGTCATAGAGAAGAATACGAAGAAGAAGAAGAAGAATACGAAGAAGAAGAAGAAGAAGAAGAATACGAAGAATACGAAGGAGAAGAAGAAGAAGAAGAAGAAGAAGAAGAAGAATACGAAGAAGAAGAAGAAGAAGAAGAAGAAGAAGAAGAAGAAGAAGAATACGAAGAAGAAGAAGAAGAAGAAGAAGAAGAGGAAGAAGAAGAAGGATAAGAAGAAGAAGAAGAAGAAGAAGAAGCATACGAAGAAGAAGAAGAAGAAGACATATGAAGAAGAAGACAAACGAAGAAGAAATACGAAGAAGAAGAAGAAGAATAAGAATGGAAGAAGAAGAAGAAGAATACGAAGAAGAAGAAGAATACGAAGAAGAAGAAGGAGAAGAATACGAAGAAGAAGAAGAAAGATTTGAAGACGAAAAGAAGAAGAAGAAGAAGAAGAAGAAGAAGAATACAAAGAAGAAGAAGAAGAAGAATACGAAGAAGAAGAAGAAGAAGAAGAAGAAGAAGAAGAAGAAGAAGAAGAAGAAGAAGAATAATAAGAAGAAGAATACGAAGAAGAAGAAGACGAAGAAGAAGAAGAAGAAGACGAAGACGAAGACGAAGAAGAAGAAGAAGACGAAGAAGAAGAAGAAGAAGAATACGAAGAAGAAGAAGAAGAAGAGGAAGAAGAAGAAGAATACGAAGAAGAAGAAGAATACGAAGAAGAAGAAGAAGAAGAATACGAAGAAGAAGAAGAATACGAAGAAGAAGAAGAAGAATACAAAGAAGAAGAAGAAGAAGAATACGAAGAAGAAGAAGAAGAAGACGAAGAAGAAGAAGAATACGACGACGAAGAAGAAGAAGAAGAAGATGATGATGATGATGATGACGATAAATCTAGCGCTTTAAACAGATTAATGCTTAAGAAAAAGAAACAATTCCATTGAAAAGTTACATTGCATCGTGTTGCGTAACGGTTATCAGCGCGGTATGTGGAATCGTCAATCTGAGTTCAAATATCGGCCTTGCATGCTGCGTTCACTTTTGCGCCGATGCCGTTGGGAAAGACACGAATCTCCTCACGCTCTAGTTATGGTTTAAATAGCAGGATAGATTGGTCTCTCTAGCCTTAAGTGGACTGCTCTGAATTACAAACTATGGAGAAAGCTACGGGAAAGCACTACATTATTTTTCCAAAAGATGTCATAGCAATTCACAAAGAAGGAAGAAAAGAAAGCTTATTTCGTTGTTAAACTCCAGATTCGACTGGGCTGTCTGGCCTTGGAATTACAGCCAGTCTAAGCGAAGGACGGTGCTAATTAAAAACTGTTCCACTCTCTTTCTGAAAAAGACAAGTCGAATCACAAATAATAAAGAAATATGAGTCAAAGAAAGGGTATTGCCCTTAAGAAATGACATAATAATTCATCTTTTATTTAAATATCAATGAAGATTTAATGCTTTTTTTTAGAATATAAACAAAGACTGGTCATATTGGCTATTTATTTATGCAAATGAATATCTGCTATTGTCTATAGAAATTACCTCAGCTAATTATCTTTTATACTCGTATATAAACCTCCCTCATGTGTAATACAACACCTGATATTTTTGGTGAAAAAAAAAACAAACAAACCAAAAACAGCTGGTGTATAATGCGATCCCAGTTTCTGAGCCATACTAGTAAGCCTACCGAAGTCAAATATTTCAGTACTGGGCATCATCCTAGACATATTTTATAGCAAATAAATGATCTTCCATTTTTTTTGTACAATTCTACCCAAAAAGATAGGCAAAGGTAACGTGAGAATGTAGGTATATCAGGTAAGTTACGTTCACAAACAATTAAATGAATTTTAACTCCCACTGAAAAAATCTAAACATAAAAACTCGTACGATACGCGATTATATGCGATAATCCCTGCAGCTTTATTTACTATTCGCGAGTATACGCAGTACTCCTTGCAGCTTTATTTATTTTACGCGAGTATTCTAGGTACTCCTTGTAGCTTTATTTATTATAGGCTAGTATACGCCGTACTCCTTGCAGCTTTATGTACTATACACGACTATACGCGGTACTCCTTGCAGCTCTATTTACTATACACGAGTATTCGCGGTACACCTTGCAGCTTTATTTACTATACGCGAGTATACGCGGTAATCCCTGCAGCTTTATTTACTATACACGAGTATACGCGGTACTCCTTGCAGGTTTATTTACTATACGCGATTATACGCGGTACTCCTTGCAGCTTTATGTGCTATACGCGACTATGCGCTGTACTCCTTGCGGCTTTATTTACGATTAAAAAAAACAAATATTAATCAAACAAAAATATGAATCTATGGTGTGACGCTCTAATTGGGACTTTCACATAGAAGAGGATGGTGCCTGATTCTATCTCCATCTAAAGTATTTCGTGTTTTAAAACCACTAATAAAGTCTATAGAATGGCATCTTCAACTGTTTGGCCAAAAGTGAATAAAGTAAAAGATAAATAGATTAAAACATTTGCTAACAAACCAGACATATCTGTCTCTGTTTCTGAAATTAGGTATTGCAATTATTTACGCAATGTACATTGTTCGGACCGTTGTCCTCATCTTTGTTGTCATATTTACGACAATTCGGGCGCTGTACGCACCGGCCTTCTTCGGGTAATTGGAATTTCGAAAGCGTTTGTTGAATCCAGTGACTTGAACCAAAGAGTTGTGAGTTCAGTATCTGGTTACAGCTGAGATGAACAAAAACTTGGAGAGTTAAATTAAAGGGAGATAACTGATACTGAGACATCTGGAAGAGGTATAGCGCGTAGAAATAGAAGAATCTACCCCGGTCGACGAGATAAAGGGTTCAGTTCGAAATTCCAATCAACTGAAGGAGGTCGGAGCGTACAACGGCCGAAACTCGTGAATATGTTAACAAAGCTGAGGACAACAGTCCGAATAATGTAAATACTGTAAATAACAAACCAGACATTGAGGATTTCCGGTTGCGTACCTATTTTAGCGATGACGGTTTGGATTGAGAATAGATGTGAACTACACCTAGAGGTGTTCAGAATGACCTTCGAAGGCCTTTCTTTATAGGATGAAGATAGATCAACGAGGTAATTCCTATATCGCCCGTTGGAGTTACCAGCGGCGCGTCGTAATGCTGAGATGGGTAGAGGGGTGGTAGGAGAGTCTGTGTTCTCGCTGATTAAAGAAAAAAAAAACATGATTTGTAATTCTGAATTGTCAGAAGTGACAGAAGTTGCCCTCAAATGTTAGTGAACTACCTACCTACCCACCCAGACCGTGGAGCCCTAAAAGAAAACGATGTATATTAGAGATACGCTTCGAGTTTTCATTTCTAACCGTGGCAGTTAATTTCACTTTTTGTTTCCTTGTCAGCAGCAAAGCGACTTTTCCAGTTTTTTTTTGAACGAGGGTAGAGACGCAACGTTTCATTGTTTTTCATTGTTCCTCTTTCTTTCTTTCCTTCTTTCTTTCTTTCTTTCTTTCTTTCTCTTTATTCCTCTTGCTTTCTTTCGCTTTAAATGTTTCCCTTCTTTCTCCTTCATTGTGTCCTTTTTTTATTTCTTTCTTTTTCTTTTTTTTCTTTTTTCCTCCGTCTATCTTTCTTTCTCTTTCGTTCTTTCTTTCTCGTTCTTTTTTTATTATTTTTTCTTTTTTTACACTTTCTTCTTCATTCTTCCGCTTTTTTCTTTGTTTCTTTCTTTTTCTTTATTTCTCTTTCTTTCTTTTACTTAAAATGTTTTCTTTCTTTTTGTCTCCCTCTTTCTTTCTTTCTTTCTTTCTTTCTTTCTTTCTTTCTTTCTTTCTTTATTCCTCTTCCTTTCTTTTTCTTTCTATATTTCTTCCTCTTTCTTTTTCATCCTTCTTTCTTTCTTTATTCCTCTTTCTTTTTCTTTCTATATTTCTTCCTCTTTCTTTTTCCTCTTTCTTTCTTTCTTTCTTTCTTAAAACGTTTTTCTTCTTTCTATTTCTAAATAGTTTTTGTTTTCTCCTTATATTTTATTCTCTTCGTTCTAAAGGTGTTTTCATTTCGTTTTATACTTTTACTTTTTTTTACTTGTTTTACATTTTGTTTTTTCTTTCTTCACTTTCGTTCACTCTTTTTTATTATTATTCTTTCTTCACGATTCCTTTCTTTCACTTTCTTTCTTCCGTTTCTTTATTTCCAAATTCTTTTCCCTTGTCTCCTTCTCCACTACTATCTATCTATCTATCTATCTATCTATCTATCTATCTATCTATCTCCCTGTTTTAGAACGATTACGTGTTGCGTTACGTGGGGCTTCACCTCGGCCATGTTTTAAATTTTGTATCGCACGAATCTGTATGTTTGCCCAGTGCATATTACAAACAGTTTAGCAACTAATAAAATTCCTAACCTGTCCTCACCGTCTCAGCCGACAGTAAACTATTTTGTTACCTGGTGAGATGAAAGCGGCAAAAATATAATTGTTTATGGACAGAGCCAACCGGCCAGATGTTGAGACGTTGGTACGAGAGGCAAAGTATAGAAATATGAGAGCTTAAATAAACTTTTTGCGTTGGCTGATTGTAAAGCAATGAATTGAGATTGACGTAAATACACGTCTGAGACCTCTTTATTATTTCCTTTAATCTCCATCTCTCTTTCTACGAGAGTTTTTCTTTGCCTGTCCTCTTTTTCTCTTTTCTTTCTTTGTCCTATTTCTCATTATATTCTATCATTCTCTCTATGTGTACTTTCTCTTATCTTTCTTCTCTCTTTCTCATTCTCTCTGTCCTCTCTCTTGCTTATTTCTTTCATCTCTTTCTTTTCTTTTCTTTTCTGTCTCCTCTCATTCTTCCACTCTGTGCTCTTTCTCTCTTCTCACTGTTTTTTTTTCTTTCTCCCTCTAGCTGTCCTCATTTTAGCTTATTATTTTTCTCTTTCTCCATGTCTGTCCTCTTTCTCGCTTCTCTCTTGCTCTGCCTCCTTTTCTCCTGTGTTCTCTTTCTCAGTTCTCTATTCACTATTCTCTCTTCTTTATTTTCTCATTCTCTCTATCCTCTTTCTTTCTTTCTTTCTTTCTTTCTTTCTTTCTTTCTTTCTTTCTTTGCACTGTCCTCTTTTTCTCTTTTCTTTCCTTTCTTTGTCCTCCTCCTGTCTACATTGTTCTATCATTCTCTCTCTCTTTCTCTGTGCACTCTCTTTTAACTTTCTTCCCTCTTTTTCGCTCCCTCTTGCTCAGCTCTTCTATATCTCCTTATCTCGCTTTTTCTTTTCTCATTCTTTCACTCTGTCCTCTTTTCTCACTGCTTTCTTATTCGCGCCTTTTTTTCTCTCTTTCTCTCTCTGCCCTCATTCTCGCTTATTTCTTCTCTATTTCTCCATGTGTGCCCGTTTCTCGCCCCTCTCTCTGTCTGCCCCTTTTGTCTCCTGCTTTCTCCTTTTGTTTACTTTTCTTTATTTTCTCTGTCCTCCTTTTCCCCGCTCTCTTTGTCCCATTTATCTATCCACTTTTTTTCTTTCTTTCTTTCTTTCTTTCTTTCTTTCTTTCTTTCTTTCTTTGCTCTATTTCTCTATCTCTTATTTTTTTCTGCCTTTTTCATTTTTCTTCTCCCTACCTGTTACCTATTTTTCACTCTTTCTCTGTTTTATTCCTTTCCTATCACATTCCATCTTTCTCTTTTTTATTATCTGTTTTTGTCTATAAATCTCTTCCACTCGCTCATTGCTTCAGAAATTCTTCTTTTTTTATATTAACTAATGAAAGTATCAAGTTCCTGTAGAAATTCCCAGAATGATCTTTCGGACACTATAATATTATGAGTATCATTAAAGTTTACTCAGCTTTTTATTGCTTGTATAAAAAAATGCAAAAGCATAGGAAATGGCTTCTACATAAACAACTTCTTCTTCTTCTTCTTCTTCTTCTTCTTCTTCTTCGTGCCATGTCCCTTCAGAGCGTCAGCGATCATTACTCTCCACAATATCCTGTACTTTACAACTCTTAATATATTTTGTCTTTTTGTCATTTCTCCTAAAATCTTTTTTGTCAACCATCTAAAAAAATCTTGTGAGGTCGGTTATTGGTTGCTTTCCTCCGCACCTCTTGTCTTCAATATGTCCTGTGAGTGTCAAATTTTTCAAACCTTCTTTCCTCATTATATGCCCTAGAAATTTCAACTGTCTCTTTCTAATGTTAAGCATAAGTACCCTTTTCGTTTCCATTTTCTCTAAAACTTCATCGTTGCTCACATGTTTAATATTCTCAGCATCCTGCTGTAGCAACATTTCTATCGCTTCATGTTTCTTCTTCATGTCTAAGGAAATTGTCCAAAATTCATTGCTATAGAGTAGGACTTTTTATTGCATGACAGTTCAGTACTCTTCTTTGTTTCGAACGAATTTTTTTCTGTTTTTTAATACGTTGCTTAGCTTTTGGAAAGCATCTTCTGTTATCTTAATGCAACTTCGAATTTCGGTGTCGCACTTTTCGTTCTCCGTTAAAGCACTTCCCAATTTTTTTTTTATTCATTTTACTCCAAGCAAGGTAGGAATGTCACTAGTACACAGGGGATTACAGAGAGAGAAGATGAGTGAAAAGACTGGGCATAGTGAGGAGCAAAAAAAAAGATAAAAGGTGAACTGGGTTCAATAAGATAGAAAATTAACGTTGCATTTAAAGTTTTGAAGATCTTAGTTATCAGGGAAGCAAGAAAACGGAAGGGGGTTCGACAGGCGGAAAGTGCGAGAAAATAAATTGTTGGAGTAGAAGTGGCGGTTACACTTATTGTTGTGGTGTCCTCTCTCTAAAGAATCTATGATGGACTCTTCTGCCTACTATAAGATAAGTACGCTTTGCCGCAGGGCAAAGTTTCGTCCGGGGAGGTAGACAGGCCCTGAACCCGTTTATGCGACTTCTAAGTGAATATTTTTGGCCGAGCCTACGGACTCGGAGAACCCACGGTAAACTCGGACTTGTACCACATACATCCCTCGTGGTGGGGACTGTTAAATATTAACAACCGCCCAGATTGTTCATCTGTCGAATTCTCTGCCTTGAGCGGAAAGGAAGCCGGACGAGACTTTGCCGAAGAGCAAATCTTCGTCCGAGGAAGTAGACAGGCCCTGAACCCGTTTATGCGGGTTCTAAGGGAATATTTTTGGTCGAGCCAACGGGCTCGGATAACCCACGGCAAACTTGGCCTTGTAATACATATATCCCTCGTTGGGGGTGGCCTGTTAAATATAACAGTCGAACAGCTCTGTTCGCACTGTACTGGTCAAACTGTGCAGAGAAGATCCCCAGACGAGTCTATGTCGAAGGGAAGAGTTTCGTCTCGGGAAACAGCTACCCGACCCAGTTTTATATGGGATCTATGGGGAATTTTGGCTGACCCTACTGGCTCTGATTGCTCCACATTAAATTCGTTCTTGTGTCACATCCTACCTCGTGGGGAGGCTGGTAAATATAACAGTCGAATAGATCTGTTCCAGTTGTATTGGTCAAACTCTCTGCTTCCGGGCAGAGAGGATCCCCAAGACGAGGCTATGTCGAAGGGCAGAGTCTCGTCTCGGGAAACAGCTACGCGCCCCCGGTTTATACTGGGTGTATAGGGAATTTTTGGCCGAGCCTACGGGCTCGGATTGCGCCACATTAAACTCAGTCTTGTGCCACACGTGGGGAGTCTGGTAAATATAACTGTCGAACAGATTGAACGCTGGGTCATCCGACACTCACTCACTGATAGTCTTTCTGTTGTACTTATTGTTTAATATATGATATATCTGCAAGACTTGTTTTGTTATTTCTTGTTCACAACACTTATCTAATTCTGAAGTAAAAGGGTAAGACCTAGATGCCAATCTAGTAGCACGCTTAAACACATGTAGTCCGGGCACTAGGGAAAAAAAAACATCGTCAGAGTAGTTTCCATAAAAATATTTGGAGAAAAGACAGAGAGAAGTTGCTTTTGGTATCTCCAATTTGTAATTTGCATGTTGGGCTTTTCTTTTTGCTGACATCTTCTTGCAATTGATGTCTAGTCATTTCTTCTCGAGTAAAAGGAATATCTGTCGAATCTTTTATATAGTTGTCTTTCCCTTTTACATTGGCGCATAAATTATTATTATATCAATAATAAAAAAAAAACACAGAAAATGACGACAAAAAAATGAATTCAGTAAGAACAATTCAAACATTTTAGTGCTGAAATTTTTCTTTCTCGACAGTGAAGTTTTTTTTTTTTTGATAAAATCTTTTTCTAATTTGTAAATGCGAGCTGGCCAGCGAATCATGAAGTTGAAGTTGAATATAATTCTGTATGCAGTTGACTTTTCATGTTTTTTCGCACTCAGATAATTACTTTTCGCTCTCTTTGCGTCTCTCAGTTTTTTTGTTCAGGCGATCAAACAAGTTGGAAATATGAATAAAAAAATATTTGCGGTAAGAATCAAAACTGGAATTGTTCTTTTATTAAAAATTTAACTATAAAACTTGAATCACTCAATATGGATGCTATAAATTCATTTGAAAAGACGATTTTGTTAAAATCTGCAAAGAATCTTTTGGCACGGTCATTTATTGACAAAAGAGAAGGAAAATAGTTACAAAATTGATATCATTTCTTTTTTCTTGTTTTTGTATTCGTCTTTCTTAACTCGTTCGTTCTGTTTTTTTTATTTCTAAATCCTAAATACAAAATATAATTAAAAAAATTGTACAATAGGTTGGCTGAGAGACAGAGAAAAGACAAAATGCGACAAATAAGAAGAAGAAGAAAAAGAAGAAGAAGAAGAAGAAGAAGGTGGGGTAGTAGGAGGAGAGGAAAAAGAAGGAGGAGAGGAATGCAGAGAGGAGAAGAAGAAGGATGAGGAGAAGAAGAAGAAGAAGAAGAAGGAGGAGGAAAAGAAGAAGAAGTTGTTTATTCTTAAGAACATTTAAATGTAAAACTATCTAAAAGTTTCGATAAAAAGGCAGTAGAAAAAAAAAGAGATGAAAGAGAAAAAAGATGAAAGAAACAAAAAATGAACGAAAGAAGAAATAATAATAAAAAAAGACAAATCAAACGCAAATAAAAACAATGTTTCATCTCGGAAATTCAGACTACTTACCATCTTATTATCTATCGTAAGTGAATGGCACGATATTCTATAGATGTTTTCCAGTTATAGTATATTTTTTAGAAGGGCGGCAAATTCTACGACCGCTCAGGACGGCATAAGCTTAAGGTACGCTGCTGGCTAGAGATTATTATACCGCGACATTTTTATGGACTGAGGCCAACGAATAGTATTAACATCTTCATATTAATACTTCTGAAAGATAAAAGGAAAGAGTAACAAAAAAAAGAAACAAAAAACCCAAACAAATAAACAATGAAGTGGCAAAGTGAATATATTTGAAATAAAACAAATACTAAAGAGAAAGAAGACGAATTAATGAAAAAAGTAAAAGAAGAGCCTTGTAAATAATAAAAATAAGTTTAAAAGCGGAAGTAATAAATAAGACAAGGTGAAAAAACATAAGAAAAGAAAAATAAAGCCCTAATGAAAAAGGAAAAAAAAATAAGAAATAAAATTAATCTTCACAGAAAGGATGGAAGGAAGCATACACAAACACAAACAAACAAACAAAAATAAACAACGATAGAAAAAAAAATGGTTCAGCCAAGGGATACATAGCAACGGAGGTAAGTAGTGTTATAACCTTACTAAAAACGCTAGGATATCTGAATTCAGATTTTGAGTATGCCAAATATATGAGTGTGACCTTAAAAGTATCTACCTTACGTTCAGATATTTATCCAAACATTAAAACAATAAATAAATAAAAATGTCTGGGGAGAATTCGGATGAACATAAATAAAGATTTTACTTTATCGAAAGAGAACGCCTTTGTCTCTACAGGACACTGGCGATCATAGCCCTCCACAATTTCCTAACCTTTGTAACTCTTAGTAAATGTCTTTTTGTTATCTCTACTATACATTGGTCGAGGTATACATAGCAACGGAGATAAATAGTGTTATAATCTCAGTGAAAACGCTAGTATATCTAGATTCTCATTTTCTAAATTTTAAGTATGCAAATATATGAGTGTGACCTTAAAAGTATCTACCTTATGTTCAGATATTTATCCAAACATTAAAACAATAAGTAAATAGATTAAATGTCTTGAGAGAAGTCGGATGAACATAAATGAAGGTTTTACTTTATAGAAAAAGAACCTCTCTGTCCCTTCAGAACGCTGTAACCCTCCACAATATCCTAACCTTTGTAACTCTTAGTAAATGTTGTCTTTTTCTTATCTCTCCTAAATCATGTTCTACCATATATTTAATGGGCTAAGTAGAAAGTAGTGTGATCGCGATTTTGATTTATTCTTTTATTACTATAAGGACCGCTATTCTCTACTCTATTCACTATACTATTTCTCTATTCGGATTACTAGACGGCTTACTATTCGAGCGAGTATTATCGAGCAAGTACTATTAGTGCGAGGGTTACTCGAAGGCGTCTGACACAAGTATTGTTCAACGGCGTTACTATAACTGTATCTGCGATTACAAAGTCTCTACTACAACGAGCATTGCGAAAGAGACAATGAGTATTCGTTGACATTGCAAAAGTGTCAACGGGTGTTCGTTGACCTCACAAAACAGTCCTTCTAATAATATAAGGGTGGCACAACACAATCTTTCGAAATCC